ACTCACATTGTTGTGAAACAGAACTCCAGAACTTTTCATCTTGCAAGACTGAAACCCAGAACTCATTAAACAATTCCTCCTTCCTTCCTCACCCCGAGATCGTTTTTAGTAAATAAAAATTCAAAACTTCTGTATATCAGAACTTCACAAATAAAAGGTCAGACCATAAATTGGAAGATAGGGTCCATATCTAGCAAATTACATATGAAATTCTTTTATATGTGCCAAAGGAAAATACTCAAGGTTGACCAAAAAAATTAGAGACAGTCTGTAAAAGAAAAAGGGCCAATGAACACATGAAACAATTTTGAGCCTTATTAGTAATCAAAGAAATGTACATTAAAATACCAGTTTTGCTTCTTAGATTACCAGATTATTTTCAGTGATGTGCTTAGTGCCAGATGTTGTCCTCTCAGTGAGATGGATGGGCTCAGACCTGCTGGTGGAAATGTAATACAATATAACTGCTAGCATTTTATTTGATGATATGTTTCAAAAACCTTAAAATTTTCATACTTTTCACCCATTAATGTCACTTTCTGAATGTATGAGCACCCAGAAAGGGAAAATAAAAGAGATCAAAGGAAATATGTCAAGATGGTGGCTATCTCTGGGTAGTGGGAGATTTCAAAATCAAAATATGAAAGATTTTCAGTGAAGAGTTTATATTGCTCTTAGAATCAGAAGTAAAGCCTTAAAGAGGAAAATTTTATAAAATAGTATAAACAGCACACACAAATATTTTTTAGAATTTAAATTTCTACACACTGTTCAACTAATTAATTTTACTTAGTAATTGTCTTAGAGTTTAGCATACAAATTTATGAAAATTGGAATTTTGCTCCTGTTCTGAGAGTTGTAATACTTTTTTTTTGAATGTCTGTTTTTAAAATGAAACTAAAACTGTGCCAAAATTTTATCTTGGAAGTTGGAGTCTGGATATTTTTTTGCAGATATTTAGACTTTCATATTTAGTTAAATTGAATTTTAACCTAGTTTTGATCCTTGTGGTTTTAGGAAGCTGAAATACGGTACTTTGGGAACATGATGGATTAAATAGTTCTGTAAGGTGTTCTGTAACCCATTTATTATTTTGAGACTTCGGGAGAAAATGAAATCTAACTTCCAAACAACATTCATATATTTGGAAAAGCCCCTTTCGGATATATGAATTCTGAGAAAATTGCATTTTAAAAATTATTTTGCAAGTATTTTTATAAAGATTTTATTTTTAAGTAATCACTACACCCAACAAGGGGCTTGAATTCACAACCCCGAGATCAAGAGTTGCACGCTCCACTGACTGAGACAACCAGGTGTCCCTTTAGCAAATATTTTTTAAACTTCATATCCTAATGAAGAATTTTATCTGCTACCTGGTATGAGAAACATCACGAGAGAACACAGCCCTGTTTACATGGATCTTTCTGTTGCCACTGTACTTAAGGGATCAAAATGCCTGTTGAGTTGACCTACCTGATTGGCAATACGGGGAACTGAATGAAAGTTGCAAGAGTTGGATTCAGGTCGTGTCTGCTGAGCAAGATGCCAGACACAGTGCAGAAACTATCAGAACCCCTGGACCCTGCGTAGGGATGGACTGCTGAGAGAGGGAACCCGAGCTGATGCTCTCAGTAGTGGGGGACTCACACAAACGATGACTGTGTCCTGAAGTTGGAGTGGCTGCCTCAGCTCCAGCTTGGCCCAAGGACCCTGGCAGAAAATCTGATCTGACCTGACATGTGATTGGTACCGAGCCTCTGCCAAGAATGTGCTCTGCTGGACAGGGCATTCATCACTCCTATCATTAGACACGAACATTTGAGGGCCTTCTCTGCCAGGAAGGATAAAATGAGCAGATAAACTCCTCACGTACCAATTCAAGCCCAATTTATGGGAGTGAAAAGCAGCTTGCAAACCTAATGAATTGGCTTTAAATATTCAGATTAGTTGGGAACTGACTAGATCTGGTCCCCAGCAAGCCAAGGAAATGTGAGGCACCTGTTCATTTGAGAAGCCAAGAAAATAACAAAGCCCCAAAAGCCTTTGAGAGAAGCAATTAAGACATCTGATGAAAAATACATTTCCAACTCTGCTTTGTGGATGGACAATCCCCTTACAGAGGGAGGGCTTTGTTTATCCTCCTCTAGCTTCAGAAAAAGAGATAACTTACACATATTTTCTTTTATGCCATACTACTTTACCTGAAATGGTGCTACACATCCTTAGGTGTTCATTTTTAATCACAAACTCCGGTATTTTTTGATGCTTTTGAAAGGGCACAAATATATGCCCTCCTTTTTCTCTTCAACACCTTAAACCATCCATCCCCTCCTTTGAATAATCACAGAAAATTCAGAACAGTGTCCTGGCCTCATTGAGTTTAATCCCAAGGTCTGTTTCTGATTGTCTTCTATTCCTGCTCCCCAAACCTAAGATTAAAACAGAAATTCTATGGCTGCAGGTTAATGAGATGAACAATAAAACATATATAGGCAAGTCTACTATATATAATATATATAAATATAAGTATATATATATACATATATATATATATAAATCCTCTGCTCCTTAAATTTATTTTACTAGAAGATGAATGCTAGGCACTGCAGGAGTCCATATTTCAGACCGTCGGGAACAAAAGCAAGTTTCATAATGAGCGTCAACTTTTCCATTTAAGAACTCCCAGGCCGCAATTCTTTCACGACCATATATGTCTGTTTACTGCACTGGGATGTTGATTCCCTTTTGTCTTTATCCTATCTTGCTGCTGTGTGATAACTTTTATTTATTTTTTATCATCACACCTTCCTCTTATCGGCTCTCTTAACAACGCTCTCTCCTTTTACTTGGAAAGAGCCTCTATGAAGAGGATCCAGCTTTAAATAAAATCAGCTGATGCCTGCCATCACCAAGGGGTGGTAATTTCTGCATCCGGTTGCATTTCATAGATGTGTTCCCAAAGAGACAGACATTATTTTAGGGTCTCTCGGCGTTCAATATCTTTCTTCTCACATGAAGATAAAACTGAGAAACAGAACACATCAACCGTATACTTCTTGATATTTAATAATTTTAGATGATGACTTTTCATCTTGTGGAAAATGTCATTCCATCCAGGTGTAGTGATGCACACACTGCGCTACGTAAGAACAATCTGCTTTTGAGGATTATACTGCCCAGGACAGAGTGAATATATCCAGTTATGTCCCTTTCAAAGTCACCCACTCAGAGCTGCTAATTTTAGCCCTCTCTGTGAGTGTCTTAAGAAGTTTCTTTCCAAGCTGTCTGTTTCCAGGTGTGGCACACACTTTTCCAGAGAGGCAAATTAGTTACAGCAGAATACTTCAGGATTTTTTATCTTCTGTCTTGGATTTGGACAAATTTCAAAGAAATGTCCGCCTGACAAATTCTACTTTGGTATGTAACACGAACAATTCTTGACAGTTTGACGGATTTGTGGTATTTCTCTATGGTTTTCTTGTGCTCTTCCTCTCTTCTCTTCTTACTACAATAGTCAAAATAGGAAGAGAGAGAATGTGCGTGTGCGTGTGCGTGTGTGAGAGAGAAACTGAGAGGGGGGGGAGGGAGGGATGTGGGGGGAGGACCGCGACGGGAGGAGGGAGGAGGGAGGAGGGTGAATCCTGCCCTGCTGTGGCTTCTGCGTTTCTCAGGGGACTTCAGAGAACTGTAATGCCAGTTCTAAACGAATGACACAGTGTCTCTTCTTTTCACCTCCCCTCTACCCCCTCCGCCCCCTCCACGGGTTTCCTATGTGTACTTCAGTGCCTGGTATTCTTGGTATGAGACCTGCTGGTGTTACTCTGGCCTCAGGGACTTTATCAGACAAGATTCTGCTTTTCTGAGAGGTAAGCCACTTCCTCAGGGACAGCTCGTCTGCATTTCGTCAGCTCACTGGAGCTGCATTTCACCAGGCCCCTCTGCCAGGGCCTCCCTGGCGGCCGCGTCAAGAAGTGTCACACCTCCTGCAGAAACAGCCCTCAAGTTTCATCACAGTGATGCTCAAAAATATTATCCAGCTTCAGCAATGACCTAGTTCATTCAAGGGCAAAGGGGAAAATGTCTTCTTCCAGAACTTCTCTGGGCACGGAATTTTCCCTCTTAGGAAGATAGGAGCTTTTCTGGAAACAGACCCAACTGTGCTTTGACTCGAACGTGGAAAAGACCCTGAACCCTGTAACTCCTCTGAATCCCCAGTCCCAGGAGCAGGGACACCCAATCAATTCCTCCCACACAGCCTGGGGAACCCACAGCCGAGCCAGCCCTCCTATCATGTCTCTTGGACAAAAGGTATTGAAAAGTAAGTATCTAGACTTTGGTTTTTACATAAGGAATGGCTGTGCTTTAAATATGTAGTTGTTTGCATTTTCTGCAATAAGGAACAAAGCCGATGGTTTCCTTATGAAATGGAACAGAAGGGAACAAGTAGGGGCTGTCTGGCATATTTGGCTATCTAGGGTTTTAAAGTGGCCAAATTAACATTCGTTGTTTAAGTCCATTCAAACCCTTTTTTGGAAATGATTTTTTTCATGTCTGTTTAAATAATTAAAATTGACTCACATCAGGGCTATCTCAACACTTAGAGAAAACAAACAGATAGGATGACTTGAAGGAGTGATCTGCAAAGGCTTTGCAAAGTAACATGAAAAATTGAAGTAATTATCCAGGTAACTCAGGCCCCAGATCCTTTTGCCTGAAGTATTTGAGGATTTCAGTCAAAAGTTATTTCTTGGATTATATGAGTGATTGAAAATCCCCACTTTCTGGGTGGACACAGAATGACACCCAGAATGCAAATTGCTGAAAAGCTATCAGGCATTTCAAAATGGCTGATGCAGACATTCATCAAGTCATTAAGTAGATTTGCTTTCCTCTCCTTTCCCTTTAAAAAAAAAAAAAAGAAAAAATGGAGGGAAGAACATTTAACATGACATCTACCCTCCTGATAAATTTTAAAGTGTACAACACAGTATTGTTAACTATAGGCATGATCTTATACTCCAGTTGTTAAACAGAGTCTTTAAAAATCTAAGGCAAAAAGTCAATCAAAAAAAATCCATCGATAAAATGGTGCCACTGTCACATTGCATTTGGATAAACACATCTAAACTTAAAAACCACTGATGACGGGTGTCAGTTACATACATGTTTCTTTACAGCATACCAGCTAAGGGTAAATTGAATGAGCTGCTTTGCTGTGAGGCTTCTGAACCAAAATCCAGGATGTTGTGAGTGACCTTCTGAATCAACAAATTAACAAATTCTGTATTAGCGGGCACTGAGGGTCAATAAGCATGTTCAGATCTTGGAAATCAAGATTTAAAACAAATTAAAACAAATCTGGTGCCAAATTACACTGTCCTTTTGAAGTTTTTGCAAAACATTCACACTTTGGGGAAGACTTTTAGGTGGGGTGGAATTCCTGTTTTTGTCACCTGCAAAAACCACCCTCCCCCAATCTAACTGGTTTTTAAGTGCCCCATGCACACCTGCATGTAGATATCAGCCTATGCAAGGAGGAAGCAGTAGATGTTCTAATCTGGGTAGAGGTGTGTGTGTGGGGGCAGGGGCTGCTGAGTAAAGTCCAGGCTCTGGAGTCAGATTTCCAATCAAATCCTCACTCTAGCACAGTTTTCCAGCTTGTCTGTACTCCAGGGTTCTCACCTATAAAACAAAGGTAGCAACATCCATTCTGACAGGAGTGATGGGGACATGATAAATATACCTAAGTATCTGTCACATCCTAGCTTCTCCCCAAAGTTCAGTTCTTCTCCTTGGTTAATTAAAAAAATTCTTTTTTTTTTGCTAAAACTTCTGAATGCTTTCATAATACAAACTATTATAGTGGAAGTGACACATTTTTGACTTCGGTGCCACGATAAAACAAAAATAACATAGGCAATTAGATTTTTTGAGGAACTTTCTGTACTTAAAAACAGTGGGTTTGAGAGCAAAACAAAAAAGGATTATATTTTAGAATGCATCTGCAATAAATAAGAAAAACTATTTTCTGTTTGAAAATGGTTGATGGTATATTTATTATCTAAAAGGAGAGGTAGAGATTTCTCAACATCATCGGATCTGATACTTCTTAGCATATATCCGTACCATATTTAAATATGAGTTCTCATAATTCATAGGAATGGAGAGTAAAGTTAAATCTCTGCATACAAGGTGATATCTCTGTGATTATTACGAAAATTAAGGCACAAGTCCGGTCTTTTCTCAAAGATTCTAGCTGCCCCTTTCACTGATCCCTTTTTGCTTGGACAGAGGCATAGTGGAGTGAGGGCATGTGAAAACACTCTGAAATGGGCCAGCCATGGGGGCTGAGCGGAGACAGTAGCTGGCGGGGGGGGGGGGGGCATTTCAGGAGCCATTTCGAGGAATTTCGAGGTCAGTGATGAAAGTGCATAATGAACAGGATGCTTCCTTGTTCTGGAGTGAGGGTGAGTCAGGCGCTGAGGGACGGAGCAGAGGAGGGTCACAAGCAGGCCTCATGAACAGCTCCAAAGAATGTTATGCACATCTTTATTATTGCACTGTCTTTACTGAGCTACACCACAGCTTTTGCCCAGACACATCAGAGTAGCTTGATAAATTCTTTGCTTGAGCTACTGACAGATCCACAAGGAACCCTGTTATTTTGGGTTTAATTCTGCCAAAAAGGAAATCTAGAACTTCAGAAATGTAAAGAAACTTGGGGGAAAGTAAGCATGTCATCTTAGGGTTGGCAAAAAGGAGAGAATAAATGCCCAACCTACATGAGAGAAAAAGACCCACAACTCACGTTGATCTTCGGTCCTGCTCTTGGATAACCAGGCTCATTTCCTCCTCAGTCAGTAGTTTTAAGATTTTCCTCTAGTCCAGTGGTTCTCAAACTTTAAAGTGCAACAGAATCCAGAGAGCTTGTTAAAACGCAGGCTACTGGGTCCCACCCCCAGAGTTTCTGGTTCTGAAGTTCCCAAGAATTTGCATTTCTGAAAAGTCCCCAGGTGATGCTGATGGTGTGGTCCAGGGACCCACACCTGAGAACCATTGCTTTAGCCGTTTCTTTGGCCTGCAATTCCTGAGGAAAATCTATTCTTTCCAATCACTAAACTTGCCTCCTTCTCAAGAGATGTGGAAGGCCTGGCCTCAGTATGCTGGAGCTGGGGTAAATACAAAAGATAAACCCAGGAGTTGTCTTGCAGGCAAACATCTCTCAGTGGAGTGTGTCTGTAGGGGGATACTGAGTGTGGGCGGGGCACACTGAGGTAAGCGGTTCACCCTTTGGGAGGGGGCTGTTTTTTTCTAGCTGAGGCTCTCAGGGGAAGCTTCACGGACAAGCTAGCACTTGAGCTGGGGTTTGAAAACTGGTGGCACTGAACATAAGAACCAGATGGAAAGTGTTCTTTCTGTGTAAACAACAAAAAGCAAAACAAAACACAAAGGGCAGAAAGAGACAGGAGGCAAATACAAATGGAGCTCCAATTCATGTGGTTATGTTAGGTGTCCCCAGAACTTTCTTGGAGAAGCATTCTTTGATTAAGCTCTCTAATCTTAAATCTGTCCCTTCTGCTTGTACCTTGGCGAAGGCACGTATGACACGGAGATGTGGAATGGAGGGCCAGTGGTAGGAATTTCAGGCACCATGGGCCAGGGTGGGGAAGCTATGGATGCTTTGGTATGCTTTTGAGAAGGAACAATCAAAAATCAACTCAGGCTAGCTTAAGCAACGGCAACAGTGGGGATGTACTGCTCACACAACTGAAAAGTCCAGGAGTTCGGTCCCTGGTTCTGGTTCTCTGCATTTCTGGAGACTCTGTTCTTCTTTGAGCTTTGGTTTCAACCTCAGGCTGGCTTTCCACAGTCTCAAATGGTACCCTCCCCTGGGCTCCGCACGCGTTCTTTTTCCTGTTTACAGGACGCAGTGAAAAGACCTAAGCTTTGCACTGATTGGATCACCCCTGAACCACTTTCTGGAGGGAGCCGCGTGCTGACTGGCTTAGAATTAGGTTATAAGCCAATCACTGAGCAAGAGTTCTTGACCAATTTGGACCAATCAGGGCTCAGGAAGCAGGAAGGGTGAGGTTCCACACGTTGGTCCCCAGGCTGAGTGATGGGAGAGGCATAGGGGAATGCAGTTAGGAGGACAGGGGAAATGGCCAGTCTAGGAGGTTTGGGATATACTCTAAAGTCAAGCCATCTCTTCCCTTAGTCACGAGGTTAGTCGTGGGCAGCGTGGATACTTTACAGGGTTTAGGATGGGCCTGCTTCAAACTCCAGGCCAAACAAATGAAAAGAATCTCCCACAGAAGAATCCTGTGTTTGAATGCAACGAACTCCACGGACGCAGGACTACTCCCCCGCTTTCCTTGGGGGTGGTGCACCTTATCTCTAAGGCACACTTTACTAAAAACAATTTGATAATGAACAATAAAAATAATTCTTCAGAAAACAAGGCAAGCGGAGGCCAAAACACACAGCTTTCTCCTGAGACCTTGTGACTGGCTGGGGGAAGGAGGGTGGAGGAAGGTGGCGGAGGGGACGCTGGCACTCCCCACAGCACTCCTTCCCCGTCCCAGGCAGGGAGAGGACAGAAGGGAAGATAACTCCTCCCAGGGGCTCCCCTATCTGCAGATGCCTGAAATTGCACACCTCTTGGTCCAATTTAAAATAGATATTCTCTCCGAGGAGGCACACAGGGAGCCTAGGAGAAAGCAGAGGACAAGATGAGGAAGAGCCAGAGAGAGGGTTTCTTCACCACACCGTGAGGACTCTGATGACACATGCCCGGAAGGGACAGGGCCTTCAGCCCACCACGTTCAACCTCAAACCAAAGTGATGTTAACCAGTTAATCCATGGCCGCTGGTCTCATTAACAACACTGTCATGCTCTGTATGTTGGTAGCATCATGATCTTTCCTTTCTACCCTGTCTTTACCCTGAGAAAGGACCAGGATAAGCCCGGCAGAGGAATATATCCTCTCAAGAGAGAGTAAGTTGAAAATCAGAATCAAGAATCGTGGACTCTGCCACTAACAAGCAGTGTGACCCTGGAAAAGTCACTTGAGCTCCCCGTTTCAGGGCATTTTTCAATCGTAAAATCAGGGAGGTACGAAACTCTCTCACATGTTTCATTTAACCTTGAGCTCTTTGTTTTTAGCCCTCCCTTAAAAAATTGGAAACTGTCATAGATTTTAAATAGCAGGGAGGAGTACCAGTGGAAAGACTCTATTCTACCGCCAAAGAAGTTTGAGCAACTTCTGAATGCAGAGCAAGCAGCAGCTACACCTCGGGGGTCAGCACAGATATGTGCCAGGCACACTGTCAGGCACACGGATTTGTTCGCTATTAATATTTAAAAGTTAAATTGTATTAGGTAATAACATGTATAAATTTAAATTATCCAAAAGGATCTGCAGACATAGTCACTGTCCTTAACAGGCTCCCCACACCCCTTTCCTTAGATACTTGGGTCTCCTCGCAGTGGCAACCACATTACCAGTTTCTTGTGTGTTTTTAGAATCATGTGTATAAATAAGCATATCAGAATATTCTTCTTTTTTTGCCTATACAAGTGATAGCATACTCTACACTCTCTTCTATATTTTATTTTTTAAAAGATTTTTATCTCTTTATTCATGAGAGACAGAGAGAGAGGCAGAGGGAGAAGCAGGCTCCCAAGGAGCAGGGAGCCCGATGTGGGACTCGATCCCAGGACTCCAGGATCATGACCTGAGCCGAAGGCAGACGCTTAACCATCTGAGCCACCCAGGCTTTTTTTGAACAATGTATCTTGGAGATTATTTCAGATCAAAGCATACAGAACTGCCTTATTCATTTATAATGCCCATTGCTGTTAAAAATAGAAAATTCCATTTAACAGATAAACAGATAAGCATATTCCTACCAGTAGACATTTTGGTTGTTTGCAGTCTTTTGCTATCACAAGTAAGGCTGCAATGAACTCAGTATGAACTTATGAAATATTTGTCTCCTTCTCGCCTCTATTTTTTTTAATTGTATGATTTCATTTATATGAAACATCCAGACTAGGCAGATCCATAGAGACAGAATGCAGACTGGTGGTTGCTGGGGCAAGGGGGAAAGGGAGTAGGGGGTTTCCTTTTGGGGCAATGATACTGATTTGGAACTAGACAGAGTTGATGGTTGCACAACATTATGAACGTACTAAATGCCGCTGGATTGTTCACTTTGAAATGATTAATTTTGTTATGTGAACTTCACTTCAGTTTTTAGAAAAATTTGTGTAGCATATAAGCAAACCTCCAGGGCACATTTCCTTGGTTCTATTTTAAAAATTAACTTTATTGAGGCATATATTGCATATTATAGAATTTACCTTTTCTTTTTTGCTCACCCGCTCCACACCCCTATAATTCACCTTCTCTAAGTGTTCAGTTCAATGATGTTTTTAGTAAATTTATCAAGTTGTGCAACCATCACCATCGATCAGTTTTAGAACATTTTCATCATCCCAAAAAGATCCCTCATGCACATTTATTATTGTTATTGTTATTATTATTATTATTATTTTTAAGCAGACTGCATGCCCAGCATGGAGCTCAACACGGGGCCCAAACTCACAACTGTGAGATCAAGACCTCAGCTGAGATCAAGTGTTGGACGCTTAATGGACTGAGCCATCCAGGCTCTCCCATACACATTTATTTTTTTTTCCTTTTTTTAAATTAACATATAATGTATTATTTGTTTCAGGGGTACAGGTCTGTGATTCATCAGTCTTACACAATTCACAGCACTCACCATAGCACATACCCTTCCCCAATGTCCATCACCCAGCCACCCCATCCCTCCCACCCCCCTCCACTCCAGCAACCCTCAGTTTGTTTCCTGAGATTAAGAGTCTCTTATGGTTTGTCTCCCTCTCTGGTTTCGTCTTGTTTCATTTTTCCCTCCCTTCCCCTATGATCCTCTGTCTTGTTTCTCAAATTCCTCATATCAGTGAGATCATATGATAATTGTCTTTCTCTGATTGACTTATATCACTTAGCATAATACCCTCTAGTTCCATCCACGTTGTTGCAAATGGCAAGATTTCATTTTCCTGATGATTGCATAATATTCCTTGTATATATGTATATATATACACACACACCGCACATCTTCTTTATCCGTTCATCTGTTGATGGACATCTAGGCTCTTTCCATAGTTTGGCTATTGTGGACATTGCTGCTATCAACATTGGGGTGCGCGTGCCCTTTTGGATCACTACATCTGTATCTTTGGGGTAAATACCCAGTAGTGCAATTCCATGCACATTTATTATTAATCAGTGTTTTCCCCACTGCCTCCACCTCCAGCAACCATGAGTCTACTTTTGGTCTCTGTAGCTTCTTTTTGATATCTCATATAAATGGAATCTTACAATATGTGGTCTCTTGTGTCTGGCTTCTTTCACTGGAATGTTTTTGAGGTTCATCCATATTGTACCATGTATCCAAGTTTGCTCCTTTTTATTGCTGCATAGTATTCCATGGTATGGCTTTACCCCATTTGTCTATCTATTCGCTCATTGGACATTTAGGTTGTTTCCAATGCACATTTAGGTTATTTCCAATTTTAGGTTATTATGAATAATCCTGTTAAGAATATCTGTGTGCAAGTCTTTGGGTGGATATATGTTTTCATTTCTCTTGGGTCGATACCCAGGAATGGAATTTCTGAGTCTTTTGTTCAGTTCCTGTTTAACTTTTTCAGGAACTGCCAAACTGTCTTCCAAAGTGTCTATACTGTTTTACATTCCCACCCCAGCGATGCTTGAGGATTTTCCCTATATCTTTGCCCACATTTGGCTGCCTATCCTGTTATAACCATTCCAGTGGTTGTGAAATGCTATCTCATTCATTATGGTTTTTGTTTGAATTTCCATAATGACTAATGATATCGAGCATCTTTTCATGGGCTTCTTTTCTAGCTTCTATTTCACACACACAACCCTAAAATCACACCCAAGAAAGAAAACAGTGCTTGAGCTCCACCAAACCTGGACTCATTTCCCAACCCTGTCACTTGCAGACAGCAAAAAATTAAGTTTGTTACATCAACACTTTTAAAGTTACCTTAAGCTTTCAAGTCATTATCCGTGAAATGGGCAAGAACACCTGCCTTGGTAGTTTTGCTGTGAGGATTAAATGTGATAATGTCTCTGAAGCATCCAGCCTGGGGGTTGACACATAGAAGGTACCCAAGACATGTTCATTTTCTGTCTCCCCCCTGGTTTGCCTCCTTCCCACCCACCTCCCCAAATTCCCAGAACCCATCTTTGGGGAGGGTACTCTTCCCTAACTAACACGATGTCCAAATCTGTAGTAACTCAGATGGCTCATGCAGGCACCAATTGCCATTGGATTAGGCTGGGTAATCAGAACTAATCCTGCCTGTCCCCAGTGAGAAAGCACTCTGACAGCTGGCTTTCCTGACAGCTCCAGGGGAGCTGGTTCCCTGTTCTCTGCACGTGGGTTGAGATTGCTTCCCTGACCCTGTGAGCTGGCAACAGCTTTCCTGCTGAGAGCAGCCACACCACCGGCTATCTAAACGGGGCAGATCGGCCAAAAGAAAACTTGGCGTCAATCGAGGGCTCTAAATATTCAAAGAATTCTCCTATAACCTCTGGTCTGTTCTCTAATTTAAGAGGAAGATATTTGGGTATTTTTACTGATGTTAAACCCAAAGCTCCTGAGAGCAGCTAATACAGAGTTCTTACTCTACCATTTAGAAGAGCTTTGTACTTACGTCATTTCCCTAACAATGAAATGAAGTAGATACTGTGATTATCTTAGTTTTACAGATGAAGAATGTTGATAGAGCAAAGGTGAGCTAGGAAGTGGCAGAGCTAAGATTTGAACTCAGGAATCCGGCCCTTCATCACCACATCCTTCTACTATTCTGTTAAGGGCCCTGCCCATTTTGGAGTATCTATCAAAATAAAATATGTGAGGGGCGCCTGGGTGGCTCAGATGGTTAAGCGTCTGCCTTCGGCTCAGGTCATGATCCCAGGGTCCTGGGATCGGGTCCCGCATCGGGCTCCCTGCTCCTTGGGATCCTGCTTCTCCCTCTGCTTCTCCCTCTCTCTCTCTCTCCTCCTCTGTCTCTCATGAATAAATAAATAAAATCTTTAAAAAAAAATAAAAAAATAAAATATGTGAATGCTCTCTTATTCAGCAATTTCTTATTTATTTATTTAAAAAAGATTTTATTTATTTATTTGACAGAGAGAGACACAGCGAGAGAGGGAACACAAGCAGGGGGAGCGGGAGAGGGAGAAGCAGGCCTCCTGCCGAAACTGGGCTCGATCCCAGGACCCCGGGATCATGACCTGAGTTGAAGGCAGACGCCTAACGACTGAGCCACCCAGGCGCCCCTTATTCAGCAATTTCATTTCTTGGTATTTAGTATAGAGAACCACTTATGTGCCCAAGGAAGCATGTAGCAGGATGGGTTTTTTTGTTTGTTTGTTTGTTTGTTTTGAGACACATTTTGTAAGTGTAAAAAACTGCAGCCTGGCTCTATGTCATCAACACAAGAACACAGAGATTAAGCCTGGTATTGCCGTGCTATGCAATATTGATGTCGCTGAGCAGTGTTTAAAAAATGATGCAGCCCTTTATGGATTGGATTGACATCGGAAGACTTCCAACGCTTACTACTAAGTAAGATAAGCCAACTGCCTGGGAAGGATACACAATTTAATGCCATGCATGCAACAAAATTATATATGTATATTTAGACAACTATATACATACATGGATAGAGATTATACAGATATATTTACATATACATATAAATAAAATATAAATGTTATATAAATATAAATATATATATATATATTTAGATGATGATATACATACATGGATAGAAAAATGTCTGAAAGTCTAGCAAACCCTTCCTCTTGAGAAGGTACTGAGATGTATTTTTACAAATACAAATGTATGCATTTAGAATCTGTACAACTAAAAGTAAACCAAATTTTCTTCTTAAAAAGGAAGCAGTTTAGGGGCACCTGAGTGGCTCAGTCGGTTAAGCATCTGCCTTCAGCTCAGGTCATGATCCCAGGGTCCTGGGATCAAGCCCCACATCGGGCTCCCTACTCAGTGGAGAGCCTGCTTCTCCCTCTCCCTCTGCTGCTCCCCCTGCTTGTGCTCTCTCGCTCTCTCTCTCTGTCAAATAAATAAATAAAATCTTAAAAAGGAAGCAGCTTGTTCTGGACCCCACAGCTAAAAAACAAAAAACACAAAAACACAAAAAAACACAAAATAAAATCATGCAAATCTTGCGTTCCTTCCAGTTAGCATGTTACCTCTCCAAGGTGTCTGTGAACGCCACCAGGGCCCTTTGCTCAATCAGTAATTGGTTGTCCACATCTAGCAGAGAATGATAAATCTGTCTTCAAGGGTTCTAAACTTCAGAGAAGCCACGAAACATGAACCACAGACTGACTTAACTGTCCTTTCTCCTTTATAGTCAGCACCGCGGTGGTGACTGAACCGTCTCTATGAGTCAAATACCGTGTTTGTCAGTGTTGTAACCTGTGGGACTTCACTGTCAGGAAGCAGTCACCTGGGGAGGAGTCAGAGATGACACATAAGGTTCCCAGCGTCACCCCAACTCTTCTTGGCAGTTTGATTTGTCCTTTCTTCCCTTTCTATCCATAGCAGTGGACCCTGGGCATGGGAATGGGAGGAGTCTCATCTTGAAATTACTATTACAGGTGAATGTTCCATGAGGAGAGATTTTTAGACATTAACTGGTGTATCGCTTAAAAAAATTATTGTGGTAACTCACAGCAGAAAAGGAAATTGATGAAGCCAAGTGACGTCTTTCCTTGATTATCACCTCAGAAACCAATTATGTAGCAGATTCTCCCTAGGCCATTTACGTAAGGATTATTCTAATCCTTAGAACACTAGCATCATCTCCTTTTACAGATGAGGAACTTTGACCAGGTACGTGGCAGAGCTAGATGTAGATTTGTCCCTGACAAGTGACAAAGCCTGGGTTTGGTCCCCAGTCCTATGATGCTTCCTGATCAGGAGAGATTTCCAGCCTCTAGAGCCCTTCCCCTACTGCCCTCCCAATTGTCTGAGTAAGCATCCGAGGACTGTGGACAGCCGGGGAGTCATCCTTCTGCCCCAACACCTGCTCCCGAGAAGGGTTGCAGAATGTGTGAAAAGGACTGAATACTGACCCGTGCTACAACGTGGATGAACCTTGGAAATGTCGTGCTAAGAGAAAGAAGCCAGTCACAGAGGACCACGTAGCATTTGATTCTGTTTACCTGAAGTGTCCAGAATAGGCAAATCCACAGAGACAGAAAGTAGACTAGTGGTTGCTTGAGGCTGTGTGTGTGTTTGGATGGAGGGATGGGAAGATGAAGACTTGAAAGCTAAGGAGTGAGGGATTCTTTCTGGGGAAATGAGAATGTTCTAAAATTGATTGTGGTGATGGTCGCACAACTGAATATATTGAAAGTCCTTGGACTGTACATTGTAAATGAGTGAATTATATGGCATGTGGATTATATCTCATTAAAGCTATTAAAAAAAAAGTGTTGCAGAGCTCCCAGCGTCACTGCCAGTCAGATGGGCTAGTGTTTTCAACTGAAGCCGCATTTTTTTTCAATAATTAGTGCGAACATTTACTGAGCATTTACTTTTGTGCCAAGTCCTGTACTAAGTGCATTACAGGCAGTAACTCATTTGATCTTTATAACAACCTATGACGTACAGACCATTTTACAGATGAGGAAGCTGAGGCATGGAGGGGCTGCGACACGCTTACTGACAATGCTAGTAAGGCGTGCAGCCGGAATGTGAACCCAGGGTATCTGGCTCTGGAGCTCTTAACCCCCGGTGCTATGTGGCCACTCAAAAAACGGTCAACAGACGTGTTGGAACTAGAACTTCTGACTCCAACTTCACCGCTTTTCGTGGGGAGTAAAACCTACCTATGTGCCATGTCCAGTCAATATACTAACTGGGGATATAAGATATGTAAATTGCATGGTTCCCATCTTTGGCAAATTTACCAGACCAGCAATAAATACCCCAAATATCTTTATTTGGAGGATGATTCTAAATCTGACTCTCTACGTCTCTTTCTCCTGCCTTTCTTTCTTCCTTCCTCCCTCCTCTCCCCTCCATGCCTTCCTTCCCTTCTCTCTTTCCCTTTCTTCCCTTCCTTTCCTTTCTTCTCTCTCTCTTTCTGAAGTTATACTTTTATATGTTTGCCAACCCTTGTTCTATATTTTATATGGAGTTAAAACAGTAGCGGAGGTCATGAATACAACTTACCCTCTTAGTTGTGAAATACCATAAAAGATTTGAAATTGAACTCAGGTTCCATTCCTGCTGCCTTATGCTTACATTTAGCCCTAACATTCTTTGTTCAATAATACTGAGAAATACCAACTTTTATCTCAAGTCCAATCCACAGCTCTTGCTCCCATCACCTGCTCAAACCTCTGAAATGGATAAGCAAACACACTGGCATTAACCGAAAAGCTGCTTCTTTCTGCGCATGTTTGTTGGGGGTGGTGGGCAACATTTCCTCAGTAGTGAAAGGACAGCATGTTGCCATTCATTTTCTTGGTTTTCTGAGTACTGTGGGACCCGCACTCATTCTGGCTTAGTCATCTATTCATACAGTAATTCAGCCACACTCACCACGTCTTCTCTAAACATCATCCTTACGCAAGGTGGCTACCATGAACGTTGTCCTTTGGAGTTAGTTGTTTTTGAGACTTCTTTCAACCTAGCTGAGAGCAGTATTTCCATTAGACATTTCTGTGATTGCTAAGTAAATAGTAATACATGTCAAATCTGGCCTTTTTATACCAATCGGAACCATCAACCACCAAACGTACTTATCACATAATCTGGATTGGAGCTGTCTATTTGCCATTTTACAGATGGAGTTTCTTTCTGTTCTGTGCGACTAACTTACCATCTAGACCGAGAAGGGGTAACACCTGTTGACCAGGGATCCCATGGGGTCCAATCTCAGCACAGCTGCGTTTAAAATGCCCTATAACCAAAACGCACCAGAAATGCAATTCAAGTCTTTATTAAAGAGTGTTAAAGCGTTGAGAGGATCCGATTAACAACCACAGAACAAAACTTCTTACAATCCTCCCTTCAGTCTCTCTGGCTCAATCCTCGCCCCGCCCCCCGCTCGCCCCGCCCCCCCATCCCAGATCCCTGCAGCTCATCAGGCTTCTCTCCTTGTCCTTGTGCTGTGTTCCAAACCCAAGTGGTTGTCTTCCTTTTTGATGCAAGCATACTCCTTTTTCAGCTTTCCAGCTCTCTCCCTGTTATGTGCATTAGCTGAACCTCAGGTCAAAGCACAAAGTTGCTTCCTGCACACTCCTCCTGAGGAAAGGAAGGAAGTGTATTCTCCTGAATTAATTATGTTTATCCTGATATTCAGAGAGCTTGGGTGTTTCAGTTTGGGAATGCTTTTTTGTTTTCAAGGAATAACCTTGTTTCTAAACAGAACACCTTGAGATTAAGGAAATGCTGTGGGAACATCAGAAGCTGCAGGAAAGGCATCAAAGGGAAGGAAGAGCTAGTGGACATTTGTGAGCAGAATGTTCCCGGGGCTGTGTCTACCCGGCAGGGCCAGCCTCAGGATCCCACGATGTGAGCCTCACACACTGATCCCCACACCCAGAAGGGCCCCAGGGCTCAGTGTAGTGCTCTGTTGTTGCCATCTCAAATAGCTTAATCATTTTTGAACAAGGAACCCCTCATTTTCATCTTGAACCAGGCCCTGCAAATTGGAACCAATTCCTAAACGGTTAAGAAACCGGTCCACCCATATGGAGAGGGGATTCCTCTTCTACAACACAGTTGTGACCATTAATATCCAGCCTCTTCCACCAAGAGTTTAGCTCACTTCTGCTTTAGGACCCTCGGCATCCCCAGAATCACCGTTTGCAGGCCTAAGGGCCCTTCCCCTGTCCATGCTAAATGTATCCTACTGAGCTTTGTGGCATATGAGACCGGCTCACCAAGGTTAGGAGATGTGGGGACCTCCCATTTGGATAGAGTGAAATGTTATTTACAAGCGTGGGGCTCTCCAGAGTGGTGCTTAGCCCTGTACGCAGAAGATAGAGCGGAAAGGGTCCTCTGCGTTCAGACAGACCTGCCTTCCTGGGGCTGCGTGAGTTGTGCAGCTCCGGGGACGCCTTGCACGCTAACACTGTCAGCGGGCACAACCTTGAAGGGTGCCCCAGGGCAGCAGTCCCTTGAGCTGCATGATCTTGAGCAAGTTGTCGCCTCTGAGCCTCAGCTTCCTCATCCGCGAGATGCAGGAGGTGTTAATAACCATTCAGGGAATTTAAAAGAGATGAAATGAAATAACACACCCGGTGACTAATCAAGTGTTAAATGCCTTCTCGAATCGATGAGTACATGCTTGCCCAAAAATGCTAGCCAAAGGAACAGTACTTTCCCAGTTTCAAAATACCTCCCTCCTGGAGATTCATTTGCATTTCACCAACTTGTCTTTTTTGGAGGCATGTGTGGCTATATCCTTTTTTTTTTTTTTTTTAAAGATTTTGTTTATTTGACAGAGAGAGACACAGCGAGAGAGGGAACACAAGCAGGGGGAGTGGGAGAGGGAGAAGCAGGCTTCCCGCTGAGCAGGGAGCCCGATGCGGGGCTCGATCCCAGGACCCTGAGATCATGACCTGAGCCGAAGGCAGTCGCTTAACCAACTGAGCCACCCAGGCACCCCGGCTATGTCCTTTTTTGAACCCAGTGAAAAGACTTGGAGGAAAGAAAGAAAGGCAGGCAGGCAGGCAGGAAAGAAAGAAAGAAAGAGAAAGGAGAGATGGCAGTGGCTATCGGCTTAGGCATGGCTATCGGCTTAGGCATGGCTATCGGCTTAGG